TGCCGAGGAGTCTCTTCAGATTGAGATCCACGGCCTCGAACCCCGTCTGGCGGCTGCCAAGGCTGAGCTGGCGCACTTGGAAAAGAACTACAACTCAAAGAAGAGAGAGAGGGACAACGAGGAGAGGCAGCTTGACGAGCTCGATCCCAAGTACGAGGAGAAGAAGGCGGAACTTGAAGCAACAAAACGAACGGTCAAGGAATTCTCGGATGCCATTGCACAAGTGGAGGACGAGGTTTTCTCAGACTTCTGCAGGAGGCTCGGTTTCAGCGACATCCGGGCTTACGAGACAGAACACCGCGATATGCAACGGGAAGCCGACGAAGAGCGGACCAAATTCGAGGTGCAGAAGTCTAGATTCCAAAGTCAACTCACCTTGGCACGTGACATGCACAGCAACCTGGAGAAACGTCTTAAGAAGCTGCAAGAAACTCTTAAGGGGGCTGAGCGCGACCTACAGACTTTTCAACGGGAGAAGTCGGATATTGAGGATTCCAGTCACGAAATTTCTGACGAGCTCGATGCGCTTAGCGAGACGCTCGAGGAGTACCGTGGCAAGTTGGAGGAGAAGAGCCAAAAGGTCTCCCAAGCCAAGGCTGAAGTGCACAAGCGAAGCAAGGAAATCGACGCCAGGCAAAAAGAAATCAATGCTCTCGAGACTGTGGTGCAGAAGAACAGCGCGGGCAAGTTCGCTCTGCTCAGGCGGTGCAAACTTGACCAGATCCAGGTGCCTTTACTCGAGGGCTCGCTTGACAACTTGCCAAATGAGGACAACATGCTGCGGCAAGATGCCGATGCCATGGATGTCGATGAGGAGGTGGACGACGAAGACATGATGACAGCTGCTCTCGAGAACCACGGCATCGAAATCGATTACGACGCCCTAGACGAGGAGATGAAGACGGTAAGCAAATCCTTTAGAACGGGGCCTAGTGAAAATTCGCTGACACTCAAAGCAGTCTGACGATGCCAGTGTCGAGGAGAAGTTGCAGGATAAGATTGCATCTCTGGCCTCAGAACTCGAGAAGCTCAACCCCAACATGAGGGCGATTGAGAGGCTCGAGAGCGTTGAGTCAAGGCTGAAGAACACGGAGAAGGAATTCGAAGACTCCAGAGCGGCTCTTAAGGCGGCCCGCGATGCGTTCAATCACGTCAAGGCCCAGCGCTACGAGCTGTTCAACAAGGCCTTTACGCACATCCAAGAACAAATCTCGCACGTGTACAAGGATCTAACTCGATCAGAAGCGTACCCTCTTGGTGGCCAAGCGTACCTTGATATTGAGGAAGATACAGACACGCCCTACCTTTCGGGTATCAAGTATCACGCCATGCCGCCGCTGAAGCGATTCAGAGACATGGAGCATCTCTCTGGAGGAGAAAAGACAATGGCTGCTCTCGCTCTGTTGTTCGCGATTCACAGCTATCAGCCAAGCCCTTTCTTCGTGTTAGATGAGGTCGACGCTGCGCTAGACAACGCCAATGTCGACAAGATCAAGAAGTACATCCGTGAGCATGCTGGACCTGGCATGCAGTTCATTGTCATCAGTCTCAAGACCGGTTTGTTCCAAGACAGTGAGAGCTTGGTCGGCGTTTATCGCGATCAAGAAGTCAACAGTTCCAGAGCGCTGACTCTTGATGTAAGTTCTCCACCACAAGCAATTATGAATCCATCACTGACCAGGAAACAGCTTCGAAAGTATGCATGAGGCAGGAGACAGTGGGGAATTTGGAGGCATGTATTAAGGAGAGGAAGAACCTGGTACAATTGGGCGATGCAATGTGGGTTCTCTGGGGTTCCCGGCGCGGGAAGTAAAGGGACGAGTTACGATACCAGCTCTGCGTTCTTGGGGCTTTTCGGTAATTTTGATTTGGGGGAGGAGAGTGTAAGTCAGCTCTCCAAAGCTGCTTCACATCCCAAATCCCAGTTTGCTCAGGCGGTTCAAGGGTAGCTTCGCGGCCACGCTGAGAACCGGCAGGGCCGTAAATGGAGTTTGGACTGTCACACGGCCGGTGGAATGTTGAACTTCATGTCAATGGATGGTTTCTCTTATTATAGCGTCTGTTCTTCCTCTTGATGTGGCTGGAAATCAAATGGTCTGCATTGCCGTGTGATAAGTGAGCCATTACATATGGCCTGCCTTCTTAAGTGAATGATAGACAGCAATCTTATCATACACCAGCGGATCGCTATTTGGTACAAACCCATGAAGGTTCTACTTCAGACTCAAGACATTACATTTGCCGTGCTATAGCGTATTTTATACTTCATAGATAACTTTGTGATATGTCATGGGCACCGCGGTACCATTCCGCGAAAGTGCGCTGTGCTCAAAGTGGATAATCCGCCTGTAAGACCTGCAAGGTACGGGCTAAGACACTTACGAACACACTAGAAGAACCTACCTTAGGTAGGCAATAGCTACCTTGCCTTACGACCTGCGGCCAGGCCCGCCCCAGGGATATGCGTGCTGCCTAGATCTTTTCTCCAAAGACAAAGTGCAATTCGACTACACAACTGTGAAAGACGGCGCAATCCCACCTCTGCTTTTCGCAAGACAATGTCCTTAGGCTGACCACTTCGAAAACTTCTGCCTTCGATCGAATCGCAGTCAATACAGGCCTCCTCCTGCTGGTGGCAAGCGCATGCGCAAGTGCAAGCCGCTGCTGCTGAAAGCCTACCCTGCCATGGACTTCACTTCCTAAGCTCGCCAAGCAAACGTTCTCTCGGCCTTACTACACCTCAAAACAAGCATCATTAATCGGTATTTCCCTGCGATATTGGATATTCGGTCGAAACCATGGCTCAGCCTTTGGATCTCGCGAAGACTCTCGTCAAGTCTGTCATGCGCGCCTTCTACGAAACGCGATTCATTTTGATCATTGATGCCTTGATCATTCACTCTGCGTGCGTCTGCCACTCCTGCTTTACAGCACAATATTTGCTTACTTTTGACAGCCTCCGAGACGACGACTTGGCGTATCTGATGGCAACGAACACAAAGGATCTCCACAAGGCGTGTGGAAAGCTTAGAGAAGACCGGTTTCTAGCTGTGTAAGCCTTGCGCCTGAGCTCCCTCCTGCGATTTCAGAGATTGACAACGACGACTACCTAGGTACACGAGACTGGAATATCGAGAAGATCCCAAGAATCCCGAGGCGAAGCCACGTCCTGTCAACCGAACCTACTACTACATTGACTACCGCCAAACGATTGACGCCATCAAATGGCGTGTGTACACAGTCGACAAGCAAATCCAAGGCACCACGGTGCCGGCCAGCGAACGCAAGGAATACTTCTGCGGACGATGTAAATCAGAATGGACGCAAATGGAGGTGCTAGACAACGTTGGCCCTACTGGCTTTGTCTGTCACCGGTGCAATGGCCCGCTTACGCACGATCTCGAGCGCAACTCCACAGGCCACGAGCAGTCGACACGACTAAATAACCAGTTCAAGTTCATCACCGAACTGTTGCCGCGCATAGACGAGATGATTGTTCCGGACAACACCTTTGATATTGCGATTAGTAAAGCATTGCCAGTTGTCCGCGACGCCAGTTACCAGAGCGTAACCACCATCCCCGTTTCATCCTTGCAGCCAACATCAGTCAAGGGTCTCGATAATGTTGGGCCCAAGTCTATGTCAGTCAGCATCTCAACGGCGGACGGACCTTCAGAGGCTGAGAAGGCAGCGGAGAAGGCCCGCAAGGAAAAGGTCGCACAGCAAAATGCACTTCCTTCGTGGATGTCTAACAGTACGGTCACGGGCGAGTCCTTCTCTGCCGAGGCCAACCCAATGCCCGCCACCAAGGTTGAGGAGGTGGACGACAAGGGGGCTTTGTCAAAGTCGGCAGACAACCCAGAACATGCAGAGCTGGATGACTACTTCGCCCGACTCAAGGCCGAGCAAGAGGCTGAGGCAGCGCGGGCAATGGAGGAAGAGGAAGATGACGACGACGATGAGGATGAAGACGCCTTCGAAGATGTCACGCCGAGCATCGCAACCCCGGCACTAGCTATCAAAGCTGAGCCCTCGCCAGAGTCAGAAGGAAGAGCAGTAAAGAAGGTCAAGGTGGAAGCGCCAGCGGACGGGGATGACGGCGAGAGCGACGAAGACATGGAGTTTGAGGATGTCTAAGGGTGCGAGGAAGACATCAAAGCATCAGAGTGTCTTGATGAAGGAATGGCTTGAAGAGACTCCGCATCATGACGGAGGAGTGGCTGAGGATTTGACGGAGGTTGGCGGTATTGCCCGTCGCCCCTTGCATCCCAAGTTCCCTTCTCTCAGGCCCACGGAAGCATCCCGTTGTTGTAAGAATAGGACACACAAACGGGAGATACATAGAGTGCCTAGGAAGTGGAGCACGAACAGAAGAAATGGAAGAAGCTACAAGCTTGATTCCTTCTATGGGTAGGCGGGCAGAAGTGCCCTACTAAATATATCTCGAATAACAAAGGTGAGGATACCGAATAAGGTAGATACATCTAGCCTAAGGTAGATGTATCCTGCCTATTCCAGGCTGATCCCAATAAAGCAATAGAGGGTCTGAGAATCCAATTCGAGCGGGGCGTTCTTCCTTGGGCCAGAAAGACCAATTCGAAATGTATTTGAGGAGACATATGGTGGCAGAAGTACGTGATGTGTGCTAAATCATATGGTACAGGGACGATGATGTCAGCGCGTTGAGTTGAACGAATCGCCGACAGCGCGCACCGTCCGTAAGGCACTTCCTCTTCCCTCCACATCAACCCCGCGACAAGCTTCAGTCGCATTGAAAGTGCAGAGCAAACCCACCAGCCTGTTCGGTAGGAAAGCAGCCACGGAGAGTGGGCAAGTAATCTCATCCACACTCTGCTACCAACTTCAACATCGCACGAATAACAACCACTGAACAACTTATAATGCATTCATGTCACTCATGACCATACAAAAGACCGGCCTCCTCGCATCACCAGACTCGTCCTTTGCAGCGACCCACGCGCCAACTCGGACCAGGGGCCATGGCGGATCTCGACTTTCCCGCGATCTATCTCCTTCCCACTCACCTAGAGGCGGATCAACTACATGAGCTCGAGGGAAGAATTCCAAGTCTGACATACGACATCCGCGAGGCCGAGATCATCGTCGGGAACATCTTCAGACGAGAAAGAGCGCTTTTCGAACTCAGGCGAAAGAAGGTACAGACAGATCCGGTAGATGTAGCAACTGCCGCAGATGCGCATCTCGTCACGCCTCGGAAGCGCAAAAGGGCATCTTCTGGAAGTGACAGCGACTCTACAGTGTACATGGAAGATGGTCAGAGGTTTGGATCAGGCACGTCGCAGCTCGCTGGAACATCGTCAGCTCCAGATGAGTTCGCCGGCGATGCGAACATTGTCAAAGTCGTGAAGTTGGCGTGGCTCCAAGACTCGTTTGCGCAGGGCAGGGTTCTTCCGCTTCATGACTATGTTCTCTATGTGGGCATTAAGCAGGATGAAGACCGCGCGCCTGTCACTATTAGGGGAAGTGACATACTGTCCCGCGCTGCTGCTGACGGTTCATCTCAAGCACAAGGCAGTCTTTTACCGCAGAAGAAGAAGGCGCATTCTCCTACCGGGATGCACCGATCAGTGCCTTCGTTGATCAGACAGACAACATCAGAAAACGCCTCAACACTGAAGCTGCCACCTGTTCCTCAGTACCTCAGAACGACATATGCTTGCCAAAGATCTACGCCAGTTGATCCTCCGAATTCTGCATTTATCGATGGGCTCAAGACAATCAGAACCATACGGAAACTAGGGGGCGATCAAATAGGAGTGAGAGCGTATTCAACCTCGATAGCTACGATATCGGCATATCCTCACCCAATAGCCAGCCCGCAAGGTGAGCCTACGATTGCTGGGAGGGACGTCGATCAATGCCTGGCATATGTTGACGTCCCATATAGAAGTTGCGAGACTACCTGGCTGCGGCGCTAAGATCGCGGAGCTGTGGCACGAGTGGAAGGAAACCGGCAGGCTTCCTGAGGCGGACGAGGCACAGTCGGACACCAAGTTCGCCGTCATACAAACATTTTACGATATTTGGGGAGTTGGTGATGCTACGGCTCGTGATTTCTATAGCAGAGGTTTGTGCTACTGCCTTTCTGGGCCAGAACGTGCTGTTGACCAGCAATTACAGGGTGGCGAGACTTGGACGATGTTGTCGAACATGGCTGGGCAAGTCTAAGTCGCGTGCAGCAGATCGGCGTCAAGTACTACGACGAGTTCAAGCTTAAGATACCTCGAACTGAAGTTGAGTCTATCGCCGACACGATCCTAACTCACGCCCGCAGTATCCACTCGGACTTTCAGCTTGTCATTGTTGGCGGCTACCGGCGTGGCAAACAAGGTAGTGGGGACGTCGACGTGGTGATGAGCCACCCGGACGAGTCTGTCACTTTGAACTTTGTCGACAAATTGGTCATGAGTCTGGAAAAGACCAGTCATATAACGCATACGCTCGTGTTGAGTAAACACAATAGCGAGCGGGACCAGCAGCCTGTCAGCTGGAAGGGTAATGAGTTCAGGGGAAGCGGCTTCGATTCACTGGACAAGGCCCTTGTGGTTTGGCAGGAACCGGAGACAAGTGGGAAAGGACCGCAAGAGAGGATGCATCGGCGCGTTGACATTATTATCAGTCCTTGGAAGACGGCCGGATGCGCTGTCCTGGGCTGGAGCGGAGAGACGACGTTTCAACGAGACCTGCGCCGGTACTGCAAGAAGCAGAAGAGCTACAAGTTTGACAGTAGTGGAATCCGGAGCCGGCTCGACGGCAGCTGGGTCGACCTAGAGAGCAGCGATCTCGGGCGAGCCCCGGACATGTTGACAGCCGAGAGGAGGGTATTCCAGGGCCTGGGCCTCGACTGGGTTCCTCCCGAGGACAGGTGCACCGGCTGAATCGTTACAGAACCTAACAAATACTACATGAACCCAGCACCGGTCGACCCGGTACTCTGGAACCTCAACCTACCGTCACCGGCGCCTTCGGAAGTGGCTGCAGATGGTCTGCCTCCCGAGTCCTTGGCGAGCTCGTGGTAAAAGACCCGGGTACGGATACATATCATCGACCCTAGAGATCCTAGGGGCAGATCACATGGCGAAGCCGGTACTAAAATGGCGTGCTAACTCCCCGTCAGCATCTTATTGGGAGAGAAGAGCTGCCAAACGCGCAAAAGTCCCGAAACGTTGCCAACCTTAATCACTTATAAGTAACTTGTGTCTGGACAACAGCGCAAGGTTAAATGTCAGGCAATATCATTATGGGAATAACCTCACTTCCCTTTTCACACGTTTGTCGTTGAAATCTCAAGGCAGCACAATAATTTCGTATGCTGCGGAGGAATCTCATGCGCTCTCTTCCACGAGCAGGCAATTACTAAGATAAGTCCAAAGTCCGCCTCAAAGTCCGCACAACAGGACGTCAAAACGGCCCCGCTCATAGCTCGCCGGACAGACAGTGATTGGTCAATCTCAGCCATCATCGGCCATCGGGCTCAAAATGTGGCCGTCCTGCACCCCTGAGATGCCCCGACAGTCCTCTTCTTTCATCTTCCAAAGCCCACGCCCAACCACGAGGTGTACGCATTTGTATCCGCCTACAGAAAAGTACAGGGCAGGTTCGGTGCCACGGCACGATGGTCTGCCCAAGAACGCAAGGCAGCTCAGGGTACGAACATGTAGCCCGGGATAGAGAGCGGAGCGGAGACCACCTTGGTTCTTTTGGATCTGGACATGGAGAGAGAAAGCCCGGACCAAAACGTCTGGCGTCTCGAGCTGTACGGATACGACCCCCCAGGCAAGGACACGTTCATTACGTAGCTTTAGGTCGCAGACTAGCAAATATAAAGACTATGGTCATTGCGTTGCCGTTTGCCTGTCAATTCTATACACACAACCAAGTCGCATCCCGCCAAACCTTACTTTGATCAATTGCACGAACACCTAGATCAGTAATCTAGCAAGCTTGTTCTAATCACCTCTCCCTTCAATCGCCCAATCGCCATCATGCCTCTCACTCTCCAGGTCCCCGACGAGTACGGGTACGTATCGCAAGCTCTTCCCCCCTCTCTCTATCTTTCCCCTCCGCAGACAGAACCAGATACCTTTGAAGCTCAGGGTAGCTAACCAATTCCCTTCCCGACAGCTACGTCCTCCTTGTCGCCGCCTCAACCTTCTTCATCAACACCACCCACGTCCTCCTGACGAGCAAGTACCGCAAGGCCAGCGGCCTCGTCTACCCGGCCCCCTACGCCTCCAACGAGCAGGCCGACAAGGACCCCAAGGCATACCAGTTCAACTGCGGTACGGTTTGCTCCTGCCCTTCTGCCCCTCTGCTCCCGTCCTACTGAGGCAGACAACATAAGAGAAGCCAGAATCACTAACGTTGATCATGTCACAGCACAACGCGCCCACGCAAACTTCACCGAGAACCAGCCCTCCTTCCTCGGCGCCCTCCTCATCTCCGGCCTGCGCTTCCCCGTCGCCAGCGCCGTCCTCGGCGCCGGCTGGACCCTGTCCCGTATTCTCTACGCCTTTGGCTACACCAGCGGCGCTGGGCCCAAAGGCAGGACTCGGTGCGTTTGTTTTTGCCCCAAGACCTCTCCTCTCCGCTTCTTGTTCTTCTTGAGATTTACTTTCCCGCCCGGAAACTCCTTAGCTAACTCCTATGTGAATGCGCAGTGGCTCCATTGGTTCCTTCCTCTTCGACACCGCCCTCAAGTTCACTTCCACCTACACCGCTCTCGCCATGATTATGAATTGGTAAAGGAGACTTCGCACCCCGGTACGCTATTTGTGGAATACGATCCAATCTCTTGCTTGACTAGTCGCTGTAAAATCATACAAAGAATGTTGGGAATAGACGACCATCATGTCCCACAATAATGTCCCAGTGAACCGACCCATTGCTTGAATAACCGCTGCGTACAACCGTGACTATTATACCTGAACAAATTCCTACCATCGCCATAACTCCGTGTCGTACGCCCTGGTTGCTACACCTCGCCACCGACTTTTCTTGTTCTCTCGCTGGTCTTCGGCTTGCTTCTCCCAACAAGAGCCACTGGACAGATGAAGCTGGATAATCAAGACTCAAAGTCCATCCTTTGGACTGCCTAACTATTTGCGCTTCCTGAGTCGTCGAAGCTCCAAACTGCGATCCGGTTCGTCGGATGTTGGTGCCGAGACTCCTACGGACTTTTCGATTCCGTTGTTGCCAAGGAGGTAGTCTCCGAAGTACTTCATCGCGCTGAATATTTCTTCGCCGACGGGAATGATGTTTTCCCTAGGGAGAAGGAAGCCGTAGCTGCCAGTATCCCTCAACTTGATCTGGTAACTGTAATGCGCGTGCAATTCATGGTAGAACCAGTCAATGGCCGAGCCACCGCCTGTCTCGAGACGCTTAGCGCCTGGTGCAGAGCCTCGTCCTGCGACGGCTCCTTCGCACGCCGATGTGACCGAGTACAGCTCTCCGTTAGACAGACGGATGGCCTTGGCAAGCCCAGCGGCGAGCTCTTCGAGGTTCTCGACATTGGGTGGGTCCACGTCGCAGGAGTATGCGAAGGGAAATAGTACCTGTTGAGAATAGGAGTGGAGGTCAATGAGACCAATAAATTCGGTATCCTCCAAGGACGCATTTCTCGCCCAGATTGCCACAGCTCGGGCTTCGGCCGCCTGCCATGGCTGTTTACCGCCATAGCTCTCAGAGCAAGGGTCGTTTTCGGAGTAGTCGCCCCATTCATAGCCAAAGGCGTGGTCGAGGTCGAAACCGTGGCACCAAGACATGCCCGTCTCCTGCCGGGACTTGCGCCACAGTCGGTCTGTGGTCCAGGTGTACTCGATGCCGTCGGGATTTACTGCCGGGATGAAGACGAAATCGAAGTGCTCCAGCAGCTTGGTGATCATGGGCTCTCTGCCGAAGGCCGTAATAAAGGACCAAGCGACATAGTTGGTAGTTGTCGTGGAAATCCACTCTCTTGCATGCATTCCTCCCGCAACAACGACAGTCTTCCGCTTTTCGCTACCTGGTGCCCGGGTCTTCATGCCGACCTTGAGACCAAGAATATCTCGTTGTTCAGAGGATTGCCCAATAGTTATAACTTCGGTGATGGCTGGGAACATAGCCTCGGTTAAGCGCATCCATTGAACGATTGTCTAGAACGCATTAGCTCGAACTCCGCGATACTTGCACGGATGGGAGGTCACATACATCAAGCCTCTGGTAATCCTGGAAAAAGTAGTTCTCGTTCCCGCTTTGCGCGTTCTCGAGGTTTGCGCGACCATTGGGGATGCGGTAAGTCTGGGCCGGGACATCGACGGCTGGATATGTGTCGTAGACAGCGGCTGCTACATCTGATATCAACGTCGAGTAAGCTGATTTCAGAGAGTCGGGCAGAAGCCCGAGCAGCGATCGAACATTATCTTGACGAATCCGAACATCGACAAATTCGTGGTTGAAGGCCCAAATATCTAAAAAGGTCCGGGCGGCGGCAGCGGCAAAGGCAGTCTCTTCTTCCGCGGTGGTGAGATTGAAGCGTAAGACGACTTCGTTGATATGATCGTCTCGCAGGCTTGTTCGGACGTGGGATGTCAGGTGGCTAGCTTTGGCAGGATGAGGGCCGAAGACGAATTCAACGACGCCATTCCGAAGTCTTTTCAGAAAAGGGAAGAGGTCAGACTTGGCTCGTACGGCAGTAGTGGAGGCGTCGTGGCGGTATTCGGGGTATGCGTCGAAACGTGCAGCGGAGGCGGCGGGGACTAGAACGGCGACGCTGGCCAGCGAAGACAAGACGACGTGAGGCCGCATGGCGACGAGCAAGGCTAATTGTGATGGGCGGGTGTCGAAGATTACTGACGTCAATTCAGCCCGACGTCAGGGAGTGATGGATGTGGGCGATGCGACCGAGTGTCAATGGCGATGATGGGGGTGTTGTAGCGATAGAATCGCGACACTCTCGGGGACCCGGAGGATGGAGCGAAGTTCAGGAAAATGCAAGTGAGCGAGCGATAAGGAATGCAACAGCACGGCTGACCTTGCCTCACCTTGGAGTCGGCAGGGAGCAGGCTCAGGCAGCCGCTTACTTGTAGGTTGGGTAACTGGATTTGGCCGTCGCAACACGATCCTTGTCGGTGACGGGATCACTGTACATGTCATTCCCTCTCAGGGACGAGGGAGCAATGCTGATGTTTGCTAGCCAACATGTGATATCTTCCAGCAATGCAGATCTGACTATTGCCGCGAACTCGCACAGGTTTCATCACAACCCAATGTGTTCCAGTATTTGAGGGATGTGAGCAACGCTGGGAAGAGGCAACAGTCGAGGTACGAGAACAGTGCAATTGGTGCTTGTATTTTTTTATTTTTTTGAGACATCGGGTGCTTATGTAATGGAAGGTACCTCTTAGCTGGACCGGCACTCCCGTCGGGTCAATCAAAGGTGCAAAAGTTCAGAGGTTGGACTGTCCCTGAACCTCATCCCTTAGCTTACCTAACGAGTTCGATACCTTAGGTATTTAGGCCCCTTGCAAGTTGCACCTGAGTCCTGGCGAGAGAGTCTTCCACTGAGCACTGAGCAGCAAGGTGGGCTTCATGTGGTGCCCGGACCGCAGCCCGGCCAGCGTATTCTTCATTTCAGACTGGTCGCGTCTGCCCTGGTGCTTCATCTCAACATGGCCCTTTGCTCACCAAATTGGCAGTTGAAGGATCGCCAGGCATGGCCCTGCTTGTCCTCCTTTCTCTGCGTTGCCTAGGCACCTTACTTCTCCGTCGCTTTCTCATTCTCCCATGCCTAGCTGTCCACGGATTCGTCACTCGTCGTCCAATATGCAGTGCAGGTATTCCTGCCCACGGTGACCTTAGTTCGGTGTAAGACACACAAGCCAACGTATCCTGTATCCTG